CTGATCCAAGCTTTTTCAAGGAAATATGTTTCACATCAATTCGATGCTCAAATATTGTGGAACTATGCAGTTACAAGTTATCATATAGACGGTCGAGATATGATTAATTTTCTTCTTTTCGTTAAAAACAATAACATTATTATTATTAGTTATTATAAAATGAAATTATTATTGAACTTTATTGTAAACTTTTTATTTTTTTACTTTTAATTTTAAAATTATGAAGGGTATATATATATATATATATATATATATATATATGAACTGAGTTAATACCAGGATACCTAGTTGTTGATGTTATACTGTTTAGCTTAAATAAATGAATAAATGAAAAAACGAACTAAATTCATATACATATTTTATAATTATTAACATTTTGATTTAAACATATGGATCTGGTGTAAGAATTGATGATTTTACTGAATTATCCACCATTGTAATGTTGACATCAAATCAGCATTTGTAGTGTTATACAAAAGCCTTCAAGGACGTATACTAAGGTTTATCGAAGCCTTGGCTATACGGAAATTGAAACTCCCATTATGTGTTCAAAAACAATTCGTTCTTACACTTAACCTACCCTGGTAATACTGACTTATTATCCATATATTTGTTTTTGAGTACTTTAATATTATTTTCTTTCTTTGTTATGACTTACTTTTAACCTGTCTAGTTGACCTTTTGATTTTCATATATAAATGTTCTTAACAAGTATATGTGTGTGAGCAGATTGTTCGTAATGTATTGTGCAAATATACCACATAATTTTGATAAACTTCATCTTCTCATTGTATTATCGAAATTTATCAAAGGGACCAATTGTTTTAAACCACCATTATTTATTTCCATATTTATCATAATTGTTGAAGGTATTGAATTTTATTTATAATTATGACAAAATGTAAGAGATAAGTTTAAATAGTAAAATATTAAATTACATTTAATAAACATATGGCTTGAATGATAAACAAAAACGACCAAAATTGTACAGACTATTATTTTACTGACTATTATGTAACTGTAACAACAGTGAAAAGTAAAACAAAACAATTTTTGTTAAGATATAGGTTTTTGGAAAAACGATTTGACTTAATGTTAGAGTAATATCAGCTTGTAGGCGATTGAAAAATGAAGTAACAATTTTCATTTGTTTTACTGTAGTTTGGTAGTCCTCATCAGTGGACACTTATGACCGTGACATTGATCAGTTCTAAGATCAGTAGAGTTCAACATTGCAAAAAGAAAAATATATTGTGAAATGACTGGCTTTGGGAATGTGAACTTAAATGTTTTACAGTTACAATTTGTTGTAAGCTCTGCTACCTTATGATACCTAGTCTTCAGTATTTCACTAGATCATACCATTTTGTGTAAACCATTACTATCAAACAAATCTTAGTAGTAAATTGTCAGATAGATATAATCATCCTAATTACTTATAATGTGATGATGTAGAGAAATAACGAATCTAATATTAAAATTTAAGATCTAGACAAAATAGTGAATATTTTGATTGATGAATTATTATACATAAAACAGCTCACTTAATAATTTTGGCTTGGATAAGATGGTTGGAGTAAACTGAGTCGTAATACCTATGGAAATAGCTTAGATCTAGTATGTTTTATGAATAGCAAGAATATGAGAAACGCAATATTCGTTTTTCTCTATTAGTTTGATGCCCATCGAATTGATAGGCTGTTAAGAAATACTTATCTAGAAAAGTAAACCTACTAACTATATGTATAGTTTAGATTATATTACTAATTAAACAGCATTATGATGACGTGGAAATATTTACAAATAAGATAACCACTAGCTGTTCTCATTGTGACTACACCGATTACTCAATAAAATGGAGTTAGACATGACAAAAATACCACGAAATCAATAAAAAATATCGTTAGGACACAGTGGATAAAAATAAAATCAACACATATATATATACTTAGTCATGTTATGTAAAACAGTTAGACTACAACTTCATAGGGAAACCACATTATATATTGTTAAATAATCTGTCCTGTCAAAGACTACACGACCGTTACATTGAAAATTGACTGTGAGATTTTATCATATTTTGAGGAAAATTCAAGCTGTAGAATCTTCTAGCTATAAAATTATCTTCATACTTTCTTGAAACTCTTGTTCCCTACCTGATTCAGAGAATCGTAAAAATCCTAGATATATAACTGTATGAAAATGTAATGTAGGTATATTAATGTACATATATTTCCGATTATGTGTAACTGACACCGCTAGCTATATTTTATACAAAACTTACCCAAAAGTAATTTATAAAACAATCTAAGACTGTCAAACAAAATATCTAAGCTGTGTATTTGCAAGTTGGAATAAGTTTTTCATCAGCATTAAAACTACTGTGATGTTTATTTGAGTTTTTTGTAAAATAATAATGGTTATTTGAAGTGAAATTTGAGCGAAATACTCTTATCTTTTTGATGGCTGTATTAGAAGTAGTAGAATGATTAAACAACTGTTGACAAAGCAATATTACATTTTAACAAACTGAAATTATTACCATGACAGAAAAGATGTTCATTAATGTAAAAAGATGAAACATAAACTAGTTGATAATAATTCACTTATTAAAATCATTAATGTGTTTCTAGCACTGATTGTCAAATTGGATTTTTAACTTTTATATAACAAAAATTAGTCATATTATTTTAATGAATAAAAAGGTTTTGATGCATCGACTGCTTTTATGCAATAAAATAGTTTAAACCATGTGACTTTTATTAATTTCAACAATTCATTGATAGTTAAATAGAATGTAAATCATTAGGGAAACAATAAAAATTAGCGTGAATATTTGTAGTTTTATTTCAAAGTGAATTTTTTGTTAATTGTTACACTTAAGAATGTATCATAGTGTTTCATACAATCTATTGACAAATCAATTTATATTAGCAGATTAATAAACAAGTTTCGTAAGAAGAATTTATCGTTTTTTTATATTATTATTAATCACTCAGATAATTCTCCAGTAGGGCATAAATATCCACGATGAACAGTAGCCACTTTTAAATGATGTATGTTTTATTTAATTAACATAGTCAGTGGAGTTCATTGTCTGACGTAGCACATATTGATCCCATCTGGCTTAATGATGAACCTGATGATAATCAAAGTTCCTGAGTGATTTATAGTTAGAGCGATAACAAAAAAAAGAATATAAAACCCTAGCATTTTCAAAATACAAAGCTGTGAATGTTATATTATAATGATAGTATCAGTACGCACATTTGTAGTTTGCTGTAGTGAAGCCTACATATTATTTGTGGATCTAACCGTGTATATAAATAAGAATAAGTTTTTCTTAATCCTTTTAATATAAATCCAACAATGGTTTTACAAAGATGTCTTTATAATCTGAACACACTTTGGTTTTTATGATAATTATATGATAAAAGTTTAAGAAGAGTATTTAGTGGCATATTTTAACAACGACATATCGTAAAAGTGACAATCTTAAAATATTTCATGATATATTTTATTTCTTCTAAGTATCTAGTATTTGCAAGCAAGGGGCGCAGCATCTAATTAAGGCCTTTAGAGTATTGTGTACATCTGGTAGGTCATAATCAGCAGCTTACTTCATCCTTTTATTGAGAGTCAATTGGCTAAAACACTTATGACCATATGAGTTTTATTCAGGTAACGCTATAGTAACATCTTGTGAAAAAAACTTGTCTGATAGTAATTTGAAAATAGACAGTTTAGAAAGACACAAACATATTTGAAATCAAATTTCTACCCTTGTCTCCTATGAATTAAAAAAGCAGGGTGAGAAATCACTTAGTATATTAGCAGCCGAATGGGTGATGAATACGATAGAATCTCCAAAACGGTACTGTAAGTAGTTCAACTTTTGATGACCTATATGCTTGATTATGGAAAGGGAAGAATAGAGCTAGAAGGTTGGAGAAAATATGCTAATAGAATCATCATGGGGAAATTTTCATTCCGATTTTACGCCTAATTAAACGTTATATAAAAGATTTTAATATGGCCTAATGTGTCTTCTGGGGGCGATATTAAAACAGAAGGAATAACTTCAGTTTGAAAGTAAGAAGGAAACTAGGATGTAATTGAAATTAACAAAGAATGAAAGGTAAAATGAGATAAATATTAAGTCATGGTTAAAGAATTTCAATTATCGTTAATGAACAAAATGATTTAAAACAGTTCTATGTTTTTTTTTAGAAACTTTAACAGCAACGAACAATTTTTGGAAGACATCAAAAGACATACTTTTTGGCAGTACTAAGAATTTCATTTAATGCGATCATTGATTCACTAGTGTTTTACATTTTTCAGTAGCCTGAACAATATTTCATAAATTACTTACACTGATGTAGTTCTACTGATAACGTTAAAAAAGACGATTATTATCTAGAGTCTTTTAGTGGGTGGGCAACCATCACAAGTGTAGAACAATGGTAAATATATACAAATCAAAATAATCTAACCTAAGAAAACTTCGTAGATAATACATTTGTATTGCTAAGTCACTGCACGAAAAAACTCATCTATTGATAAATTTACAAAGGCGTCGTGAATTTCATTGTTTCCTATTACGTCACAGCCATTTTAGACCTTACTTTGCTACAAATTATTCAAACAAATCACTTAATGAAGTGCAAGTCCTAGTTATTATATTAATATGTTTAGAATTTGATGAAGTCATGAAAAAACGGATCCGTCTTCGTCTTGTCATGCTCAAAATAATGAAACTGCAATCAAATTAAATTTCAGTTTTACGAATTTAACAATAAACTGTATCATTTTATTGATGACTATCATTTGTGTTTATCTGAAATAGGATGAAGGAATAGACTGAAGTATCAATTCTAGATTCGCCGTACTTAGTGAACTTAAAAAATATTTACTCGAACAAACAGAATGGACTCTATCTATTACTGAGATGATTAGATATACGCCCTGTATAAACTAAAAAAGACAAATAAACTAACCTGAACTATTTCTGTTGTAAGACGACCTTCGTTTGATCGCTTTCTCTAGACGATTTTCAAAGCATTCTATATCGTCTATACATTGGTTAAGCATATAAAAATTCCTTCCACCATCATATCCTGTAGAGTCTATTTTCTTTAACAAAGAGAAAAAAGATAAGTTTTTGCTATCCACAAGTAATCGAAAAGGGATTTTATTGGTGAAAACTGTTAAATGCTAAATAAATCGAAATATTTCAAATAATGAAATTAACCCATTATGTCAATGAAGAAAAATTAAAGATGATTCAGTGTAGGAAATGTTTTACTTTCCGATGATATTACTTACTCAAGATGCACAATCCTATTTATAGTGATTGAAAAATAGTTTGTTTAACAAAAATAAGAAAAGATCAAATATCACAGTAGGGTTGTGTACTAATGAAGAAGTTTAATAAAAATGATAAAATATGGCCTATTATGTGCACCTGACGAATATGAGAAAGGTAAAAAATGAGTTAAAAATATGAAACCAATACTGATAGTTCTAAAAATATCCTAAATATGCAAGGTATTCTTGACTAGCCGGAATGCTTTAACATTTGTTGATTTAGTGAAACAGTTTAAACGTTCATATAAAAAGATGAATTAATTGAGTTAATTGTCTATTCATCAGATGTGCTGGTGTTAAGTAGGCAATTAATGACTGGTTGCAAGTCATTGTTTACAGAATTAATGAAAAGAAAATGAAACAAAAAGTAGTCATTTTATTGTTATTCAGAAAATAAACCATACAATTTTATACGAAACATTCTAAAAACATAACCATTACCATGAACTATTTAGTGAATAATTACAAATTCTGACTAGCCTCGTGATTTACATTAAAAATAAAAAGGGCCATAATATCATTTCGAATGTTATTTTTATTCAGAGTGGAGAAAAAACTTCCGAGACTCGAAGTATTATTTTTGGCCAGAGGTTTTCTTAAAATTAGCGGTTGATCTGGTACATAACCTTTAGACCTTAGGCATTTCAATCCATTCAACACAGTAACATCATAAAGAATAGTTCTAAGGCATCTAGAAGGTTACACGCAACCCAGGTATGTACAAATTTTATTCTTTTATTTTGAAATTTACTGACGGCTTATCGGTTTCAGGTTATTAGAAGGACATTTATAAAGCAGTAATCTGTATAAGTTTATATTCTGATCAGCTCATTTTTAGTCTTATGACTACATAGTCGAGTTTAATGATTTGAATGCCTATCATTTATACTACTGATGACTTCAATACCTGGGTTGGTATGGAGTGCTCTACTGTTTATGGAACAATTCAATAAAACTACTTTCTGTCAATTCTGATTACGTGGTACCCATTTTTGTGAAAGCAGAACTGATTTGATCATTCCATCCTGATTGACAGATTACTTTTATATAAAGATACTGATCTTATTTGGGATCCTATTACGAGTGTAAATGATCTTTAGTGGTGAAAAAGAAGTGTAAATGAATCTTACTTTTACTTAAAATCACTCAACAAAATGCTTTAAAAGCCAACAAGTTATTTTCCAGATTACTACACTCTGCTGGGTATGATATCATACTACGCAAAATTCATTGTACTGAATAAAGCAGTTATTTTTATTGATAAAATACCTGAAGCTTTGTTCATTAGATATTATTTATAATGAAAACTAATTTCGTTGAGTTGATGTTTAACGAAAACTGTAATAATCAGTCATTCTTATCATGTGGACGAAGTGGTTAACTTAAACTAAGGTAATCGTCATGTGCATATGTGTATAATCATTTGCCTGATCATAAAGACAGATTGTTCATATAATTGTATGGTTAACTATATTTCTTTAGTTCTGATACAATATTTTAAGTTTTCTAGTGTAAAGAAAAAAAAACATTAAACAGTAAATTAAACAACTTGTACACTACTGGATGTAATATAAATAGATAATCATGAATGTATATACACAAATACAATTTGTATTACAAATGATATTATCAAATAATTCCATAAGAATCTATTATAGAAATAAGAACACCAAAATTGAATTTTCATAATAAAAACACTGAAGGGTTTATCACTTGAAATTAATGTAGCAATATTTTTTTACCTTCATATTACTAAAATAATAAATTACGAATATTTAGTCTTCAACATATAAAAATATCAAATAAAGTATAAAATGTATTACATTTGAGTTATAATTGTTAATTTGAAGTAATTCAGTAGTCATTTTAAGTTTTGTTGTTTTATATAATTTACTATCAATCAAATTTAATGACTGATTTGTTTGATGAACATTGAATTACGAAAAATCTGTATACATTGAAAGAAAAAGAAAATTATGACCTTTCATTTCAAAGAGTAGAACATTGAAATGTACTGTTTTTATTTTTTTTATACATCATAAAATAATCAATAGTGATAGCGATAATGAGAAATTTCATGAAAATAGAATAAAACAAAATGAATTGTCTTTGTTAATTTCTAATCGATAATATATTAATTAATGGGTTATTGTAGAGTTAGAACGTTGATACATGATAAGAATAGTTAATGTGTAACACAATCGTTCTAATGTACAACTGATTAGGAATTATTATCAGTATACAGAGGTTTGTGGAAATTGTAAATTTTTCATGGTTTAAATCACGAATTAATAGCGGATTCAACATAAGTTTTATTTATAATTATTAGATAGGTCGCTCATTTACATGTTATTATTGAATGTTTATTATGGTTATCAAAGGACTTATTTTGATGATCAAGTTTGAAACTGTAGATAAGATTAGTTGTTAAAATTGTTGAATATATGTGTGTATAACTACATAATCTTCCACTTAAGTAATTATTGATGAATTGTGTAAGAGTTCATTGAGTAACCTAGCAGTTTATATGTTTTTGATGTACGAATAAATACAAACCTGTTGCATGGAAGTTATGTACATCATAGAATCATATATTTAAAACACATTTTCAGAAACCCAGATTTCTAAACATTAACATAGTGTTTTAAAGGCGTCTACAGTAAAGGGATTTTTTTAGTTCAATAAGAAATTCAACCGTATTTATCTTTTTTACTCACACTACACAATGGGTTGTAGATAAGGCTACCACCTCTTGGAAAACTCTGAATCAACACCAAACTTAAAAAGTAAGCATTTCACTTATTAACTATCATGAAGTTCAAAAGAAGTTAGGAGGGTAAAAGTCTACTCCAAAAACAGGAAAGTAATCGATTTGAGCCAACTATTACATAATTACGTAGTCAACTCCAGAAGTGAGGAATTTTGACATTCTTTAAAGATGCTCGAAGTTGCCGATAAAAATCCAAGTTCGATAATCCTTATCATAGCAAGTGATATAATGCTTAAATCTATGGAAATATTTTAGATTATACAAGAAGTTTTAGCTCAAGGAACTTGTAAGTCGAGGTGATACGGATTGAATTTATTTGGATTTGTTCAGATAGTGGCTCCTTGAAGAAAATACGAAAATAGCTAATAAGTCTTCAGAAGATATTAAGCAAAACTATTGTGTTACGATTTTAACTACCATAACCCTAAGTAAGGTTGTTTTCCCATCCCTAATATGTCAGTTAGTTAGTGAACTTTGCTCGCGTGTTGATTTGAGTGGTTAACTACTAAAATCCTCAAGTTATAGCTATTCCGAAGTATTAGAAGAGGAACCATACTTAAAACAACTGAAACTATTTTTGTAGATTGACAGGAGTGACACCATTTTTGTTGATTTGAAGCTAACTTAACGAATTTTTTGTATAGAATGGCAACAACTGCTATATTTCTACAGAGGTAAAGCAACAGCAAAAGTAAAGACGATAAGTTTCATCTGTTAGAGGTTACAATTTATTGAACAAATCCGGTGTGATCGGTTTAAAGTGAAACGTATCTAGTGTCGGATGTTCCAGACACCAAAAACTCATGGCTAGAAAAATGTGAGCGCTCGTTTTGATTTTGGCGTTAACCTGCGTTAGTCGACAACTCACATAAACAGACCATTTTTAACTAGTGTAATGACAGATACACCTCTAGAAAGATCTTCATACAATGATTACTGGATGTTGAAGTGATTCATTGTGGTCTATAGTGTCGATAACATTTTATAGTTTGGAGATAGCTATATGTTTTAAAAAATGCTAGCTCGTTTTTAAGGAGCTTCTGAGCAGACACTTATTCGCAGATAAATGTCCATTTTTATTCATGACTTATCAGAAAACAATCATGATATTTGCTTCATCATACGATATTAGTTGATATTTTGTAATTTCATTAAGTGAGTTGTAAACTTAAGCTCATACATGTGACACATGTGATATAACTAGTGAGTACTATACTAAGCATATAGCAAAATTTGCATTTTATTCAGTAACTTTCCGTGCAGATAATTGCAATTTATTGGTTTTAGAGAAAGTAAATAATCGAAATAGCAAAAAAATCTCTTTTATCAGAAGAGTAGTCAGCAAGAATGCACTCATATAAATGAAACGCTAGACAAATGCTACGGGATCATCAGGTACATACAACTGATATAAGTATGTGCAGAAGATATTGGTTAGTTATAAGATATTCGTTAAATGAAATAAAACAAAAAACCATAAAGTATAATAATTTTAAATGATGAAGAACTGGCCAAATATTTCTTTTCTATTTTATGAATTAGATGTCACTTATTTGATATTAATTTATTATGATGTCAAAGTACTCATCTGCTAAAAACGATTTTGATAAACTTTTTGGGTAAAATACAAACGATTTATACTTTTGTCCGAAACATTATGACTTTTAGAGTATTATTCACCCGTGAGGGTTGTTATCAAAGTTCAAATGATTAAACAGATGGACAAATGAGTATGTAGCGGTTTTTAGGCTCTTGTGAATGGTAGAAAAACTTATAATCATCAATAGTAAAATGTCAGTCCTTCACAAAACATTAATCTATAAAGTTGGTAGCAGCTTTCATGTATAATTAAAACATTTTAAAGTTATTGTTCGGCTTCTTGTTGGCATTACCTTTATAACATCAATTAAATATTGATACAGAATTATCAAAGAGAAACATTCATTTTCTACATAACTGCTTTTTAATAAAGGTCTCAGAAACCCTATCGAAAATTTGTGCAAAAAAACTCACTAAAATCTAATTAGTCGGCAACTCACCAAAAGCCCTTCTGCACAAACATAACTCAATTAACAAATGTTCAAAAATCTGTCAAATTAATAGCATCAACTGGAAGGACATTCATATACCTTTTGGCAATACCAGCCTCTAGAATGCTTATAAGATAGTACCGAAATGCAAATACTCAGACCGTTTTGTGAATTTAAAACGTGGAGGGATTCAAACATCGGTTCCTATTTAAACTGTAACATTTAAATCCGAAAATTAGAGTGGGGATATAAAAGACGTATTTTTAAGTTCGAGATTTTTATTGCTACTGTTGCGAGGAGTACATTTGCTAAACACTTCATTGCAATGTACGATAACTGAGTGTCAGCCTTCTGAATCTCGAAAATAAAAGCTAAAGAAAACGTGAAGTATTTCATATATGTTGCCTTTTTGGTAGCAAAGTGTATGTTATTAACGATTATTGTTTACTGATTAGATCAAAGGCGTTTAGCCAAAGGTATTGATTTGCAAGTGTTGTCAATGACTACATAGTTCAACACTCACCACTAAGTACGAAATTCATAATATACCAAATTTTGGAGTGTGGTCAAATGCTTCAAGCGCTTTGCTATTTATAAATTAAAACCTGGGGCTCATGCCAACTTGACTGTCGTAAGTCAATGCCTTCTATTTAGTAGCAATACAATTTTTACCAAAACACTTCACAAACCAGCTGCATATGAATAATTAACTAGTATCAAAATCAGAAATTACACTTAAAAAAGTCGATTTACAGACAACATTAAAGATTTGAGTTAAAAGCTAACGAAAACATGAAAATGTGAACAACTGGTTATTATATCATTTAATTACGAAAATCAAACAAACTGTGATCAACTCTAAATTAAGATGGGCGAGAAGATAACATCAAGCGATTTTACTATAAGAGTAAGACTAAAACGTGGTTACAAAGGAGAAAAAGGTCAATTCTCTGTTCTTGTTTTGTAAAGACGTGTAAAGGTTTTTTGCTTAGAGTATCCAACTGCATTGAAATATGCTTATAACTGTAATGACATCATGCTGTTTATGGCTGGCAATAATTCAGGAAACTAATTCGTTTCCTTTTAGAATGGTAGTGCTATTTTTTTAATAATATCCAACAAAAGTATATTTTGTATGAAATTTAAAGTTATTTAAATGTATTTTCTTAAGATTTTTTAAAATTTCTTTATTCAGATTACTTTTAAGAAGTCAGTGCAAAACACTTCAAAATCCAGTATGATCAAACAGGTATAACACAATATTTCTAAACGTGAATATTGGTCGAACGATTGAAATAATGTCAAATTTATTTTGAACTTCTTCCGAATAACTTTCTAAGATAATCTGAAATATATGGGATAAAGCTATGTTTCGAGACCATAGTTAGAATAAATTTGGGAACAGGCAGATACAAAAATTCATTCGGCCCCGTTTAGCGTAAGAAAAAAAATTGTGCGCTAACTAATCAACTGGTACACTAAACCAGTATACTTCTGTTAAAGATAACTTGATGAAGCTAAACAAAATATTTACGATGTATTTCGTAGATTTAACCCTGAAGTAGTTGTAACTCTGTAGCCTCCTCATGTTCTATTGTGTAGTTTAAGGCTGAAACTGACCAGTTTACAAACGACCGGATTCGTTTGTATAATGTAAAAATATTCGCAAACATATTTAGTGGAAATAAACTCACTTCTTCTGACCTGCCGCGACGCAAATTTACCTCAGGACTTCTTGAAGCGTCCCCATTTGAGTTAAGTCCGCTATGGTATAAAATCAAGTTGAACTGTATCTTACAGGGCTGAGTTCTTCTGATTATATATCGAGTCAACCAGTAGTTTAGCATCATCTTTTGTTTCGCAACTAAAGACATGAACTTCAGAATCTTTAGGCTCGAGATCTGCATTATACTGTGAGCACCGAAAAAGTATAAGATAGCCATACTGGAAGTCTTCTGAACGCTTAAAAATTGCTGCTTGGTCGCTTATGGAAGACCATTCAAAAAACTCCACGACCTCCTTGAACATATGTTAGTGCGAGGTTTATATATTTACCTTCGAGGAATTTAATTCAATCAAAATTCCTTTATCGTCTAGTCTGACTTTACATGGTGTCTCGTCAATACGACCTCCTCCGTGTAATAAGTTTATATGATGAACAACACTAGAAGCTGTAAGCTTTTCTTCTCCTTCAATGAAGCTTGCAATGTGGTGCGCTTTAAAGGCGAGCTCTTCTCTATCATTGATAAAAGTTTAACAAGTAATTTATAGATTTCTTTACTTATTAGAATCTCTGCTCCTCATCTCCTTAACAAATCAATTTGCCTCACCTCTCAGATAAAGCAATTAGACTAATAAAACGCAACCATGCTGGTCACTCAATTTTGACTAGTAAAATAAAAACTGTAGAAAGGCTTCTCATTCCTCGCAAATAGGGTCTGTTAACATATGATGAGACGATTTCACTGGTTAGAGTGGCGGTAAAATTGATGGCTTGTCTTGCATTCTGTAACTAATTTGTCAAAATGGTTTTAAGTTCTGAGAGGAAGATCTGATAGTTTTTCATATCCAAGCTCGTTGTTATACAATGTGAATGTTATAATCAGGTCATAGTAAATCTTCCTGGATCAAAAATGCAATATGTTTACTACGAGTTCGTATAAAACGATTGATTTCCGTGCATTCATTAATGTTCCGGGTAGCTCCAGGTGTTTAGTGATGTTTAGTGGGAGGTAGTTAAGCAACTCAACTGCATTGGTCGTGATCAGTTAAGTAATTCTCTTTGGATCCGCATATCTCGTAATCTGGTTAAAGGCATCTATTTCAGAGCAGGAGGGTTTCTGTTACCAGTAGCTATCACAGCACAAGACAGGAAGTTGTTTTGTTTTCATGCCAAAAATAAAGCGAAAATGAGCAAGTATGTGTTTTTTGAGTCTTTTATTGAAGCTACCCACTAATGAGTGCTGTGGTCTCCCCATCTGACACAGCGTTTCGAATTGAGGGCAATCCCCAATGAAAGAAGTAGGCTTTTGTGTAGTTTAACACCCTCTGTTATGCAACTTTCCTGGGTCTGTTTCAAGAGACGCGGTGGTGATATTATGTCGTAACGTTCGTTTTTGAGGCGATTTGACGTATTGAGTATGATGTATATTATTATTAGATGTTCCCTTATTATTCTTAAGGTCGACCAGATTGATCGGAGTCGGAGTCTATCTTTGTTAGATTTGTTTCCTAATCCTATCACCCACTTAGCTGTCCAACTCTGCATTTGCTCTAAGAGATTCATGCCTCTTTAGAAGAGCGGGATTGTAACAAAGTTTTATACACCAAAGTGAGGTTTTCAGTGCTTTTTAAGGAGTGTTAGGAACAATTCCGAGGCAAGTTGTCTTCACATAACGTGAAAGGCCATATTTACTCTGGCTTCATCTCCAATGTAATTTGAATTAATGTTCAAGCTTCATATGATTAATAGTTCTAAATCACGCCCTGGTAAATCGATTAGGAGCTAGGATAGAGATGGCCCAACGAATCACGTTTTTTCAATCTTTCTTACGAGTGTGGTGTCAAATAATATTCGACGAACCGTTATCTTTGGATTCCAGCAGATTGTGCAGGTGTCTTATGATATGAAAAGATCGGACGCACATGGCTTGGCTCTTCTGAGTCTGTGTTGGGCTCCGTGAGCTAAGTCGTTTTCTCCTGGAATTTCCTCATTTTGTTGCCCATTAGTCCGTTCTCCGTCCCCGACAGGTTGGATAGTTCCGACATATTTTTAAGAAAATTGAAGAGAAAGTAACCTGTTTTCATTCTTTTGAAGGTTACCCTGACTACTGAATGCCTCAACGGATTTCACACCGTTGTGTTGGTAGATTCTGTCCGGTTTCATGATTATTTGGTGGATGTTGTGATTTTCCCGAGAATTCTAGTTCTTTTTGCACAAGATTGCAAGTTAAGTGGACATTTCGCAAAATGCCTGCGGGCATTAGAGTTGAAGGTTATTCGGCATTTGTAGTTTCTTCGTTATACTGAACAGCGAAGTCGGAAATGGGGAGTTCAGTCACCCCTATTTTGTTAAGTTTTTTATCGTTTGGTTTTTTAAAAGCACAGTTTTTCTGGTTTGTGTGTTTCCGTATGTAAATGAATCTACAAAAACATCTTGGGTTTGGCTTGTATTTTGTCTGCTAGCTTAGTCTCCTGACGCTTTTCACTTTGAAATTAGATCTATTTCTCAAGTTAGAGCTGAGGTCGAAATCCTCTAAGGAAACTTTTCATCGATGACAAGCTCTCCTTTTTGTATGTAGCGGGACTTATGTACCCCACCCAAGCCAGAATATTTTCTTTTCACTTGTGCTTATTTCATGAGATACGTTGTGCACGATAGCCTAGAGAATAAAACTTCTCATTATCTCTCCGTGGTCGTCCACTGTTTGCCTTCATCACTTTCGTGGTCACCGAGCGTGTTAAGGATGGTTCCCCATGGTCGTGAAGCTTGCCGTAATGTAACAACTGTAATAATAATAATAATTCATTCTCAAACAACAGTTTGTTACATGAGACATGCCAATTTACAGGCAAGATCAAATTGTTGCAAATAATACAATTTCCACTGTAGTAAATCACTCAGCTGGGTTGATAATTTATAGGATATGAATGTAGATGGTTTTAGTCAGTGTCACTGTCGGCGCGCTTTATGAAAGTTGCGTTGCGACGTGCAACTGATGGTCGAGGATAGATCCACTGTAGGTGGGAGCTTCTAAAAATCGTAACCTTATATTCCTTTGGAAAATCTGAGGCTTTAATGATGGTGCAGGACGAAGTCACCTGTTCCATATCTGTTTTCAGTGGCATATCTCAAGGGGGCTGAAAGAGGGTGCAAGAAAAAGAAGGGACGAGAAGCAGAGCAGACAACGTTCATGAAGGGATAGTTAAGATATGACTACTCAGTCTAATTCTCTTTTATTAAAGTGTTTACCAAGCAAGAGCATTCTAATAGGTTAAAGAAAATAAGTGTGAATAAGGTATGAGCGGATAAACAACTGGCAAATGGAGGTGGTTCAGAAAGGAGCTGAAAGTCCGGGGTTATGTGTAGTTATGAAATGTAGTTATAAAACAGTACTATGATATACAAACGGCTGTCTCCTTTTTTGCCGAAGCTATTGGAGCCCATTTTTTAGATTTTATATGGTCTTGTGCAGGTCTCGGTTTTAGCGGATTGTCTAGTTTGCTTGTAATTGGATTACTGGGTATAGAGCACTCGCGTACCTTATTAGTGACCTCGTTAAATGTTATATTTCCTAGGTCACTATTCCTTAGCAATGAATGGATGTTGGCCTTCTTAGCTAAAATTAGGTCAGTTGATGATAGATAGTTTGGTCTTTAATGTTTTCTGTCCGACCTCCATCTTGTGACATCGCTTACATGTTCAATCACTCACCAACTTCTAATGAGCATTGAACGTCACTAGTGAAACCACCTTGTTGGGTTTGTATAATACGTGATGAGATTAAGGGATGGAGTGTTGAAGGCTCCGGGTGAGTGTATCTGCTCAAATGTCAGGTGTAGTGGAAGTAATATAACCTGGATTATCAATTCCTTCTGTAAGTTATTACATGTAGGTGGACGGTATATTCTTTGAAGTAGCTGTTAATTTGTACCGCCATTCTGCCTCCTGTTTTGTGATACCCATTGCATATAAATAGTGTCATTCCATTCACGCTAAGTGCATCACCAATCACATCGAGTGCAATTAAGAAAATTGGATTCGAATATCAAATCACTGGTTTTAACTGGTGATGAGGACATAATACAGATATCGTTATTGCGTTATTCCCCAAAACTGGCGTTTTCGATAATACGGTTTAAGGGCTTTCTTTACTCCTATCTTTATGTTTCAAACCAGTATACATGGAACTGGGAATCTGTGTCCGAGTGACGCTTACGGTGCTTAATGAGACACTATGTTTTGGTTCTTAAATCGTGTGATCACTTCAGTGAACGCTATCTGCGAGGCCCATGCGGGTCTTATTTTGAGGCATTTCATGAGCTTTTGGTTAAAAATAAGGATCTTTGGACCATGATTATTCACCACTTTTAGACTTCAACTAATCGTTCTGAACTTGATACTAATAACTGCTTGACAAATACAGGTTATGAAAGTTACTGAGTAAGCAAATGAAACAGGAAGAAGAAATAATAATAATAAGTTATACTGAATATCGAAATCTCGATTGTTTCATTATATCTCTTGAATCGAGCATTTATAGCTTCAATCTGTCATCCGTTCGGCTTTATGTAAAGTTTGCTCCGGAAACCTGATAACCGCGTATGTATTGTGTAGTTATTATTGTCGTAATTAAACAAAAAACTTGAGTCCACAGTTTCAAGTTGTATAGATCTTTGATGCATGAACTGGAATTTTGTTCGCTTATGAATTGCGTCGTAGGTCATTGGTGTGACAATTTACAAGGCATTAAAGAATGACAGGAGTAAAATTAGAACGTAACACGCTGATGTTGAAATTGATATTAAAAGGAAAGAAGCAGTTGCTCTTAAATAAGACACTGTCCTCATCTAAATATCCAGGGGTTGAACAAATACCCGTGGGATTCACCATCAAGATCACACCAAATATTCAATCAAGAAAGTAATTTTCGTCAAATAACACGGTAAATTATGAATAAAAATGAAGGTCACCACGCAGTGACCTTTGACATCTGCCTGTTGTAATATAAACCTATAGAGTGGTGGCCTAGTGGTCATGTTTGGTCTTCAAGCAATAAGTCCTAAGTTCGAAGCCCCCTACACCTACCTTGGTTTTGGCAACCGGGTAGTATCTTTAGCTATCATGGTGAATAGGTCCATAATCAAGTACCTAAGGAGTAAGTTCTAATTCAAAATCCAATACAAGCCATCTTATCATAACAATCACAATTATAGTATTTTGGTAACAAATTCAGGTAATTTAGGGGTGAAATGGTATGCATAAACAATAATGAGTAAGAACGGTACTAGGAAACACCGCAATCATAGACTGTATAAATCAATTATGAGTTGAGTTATCTGTTACAGCATTAATAATCAAATTAAAAACAATGCATCTATGGAAGTGTTTTTCACTGAAAGGAGTACCAAAGAAGTGCCCCCAAAGCCCTGGTACGGCTGAGAATGGGGAGAGTCCGCTCTCCCTCTCGAAGTGCTCTCACATGGCCACGTGTGTATAGCCTCTACAAGGGAAGTCCTACTCACTGCCTTCTCGTGGCGGGGTGTTGTTTATGAAAATGAGAGGACGAAAAGCGAATTTCCGGCGCTTTAACCGGATCCCAAACCAATGGTGCACATTGGCTCCAGTATCCTGAAGGAACAAATGGCGTATGAACCGATCGTCGGTCACCGGCTACCATGGGACTACATCTCCTTACGATGATCCACTGCCTTGTGGATCAGACCTTTAAATCGAAGGCTCCGGGTGTGGCCTCCTAAGAAAACCACCTGCTTCGGTTTGGGCACCCGGGCAGTATCACAGCACTCACACAAATCGATTGAGATTCGTGCGGCGCATATGTATTTGGTGCCTCCTTGTACCAATACCTATGTGTTAAAATAAACAAATAATAGTAAGAAAAAAGTACATTAATCTTATACAGGCTCTCTACTCGAACACAACAGGTCGAGTGAGAGCTTATGGCGAACTGTCATCAGAATTGATTACCTCACGTGGTGTTCGTCAGGGCCGTCCACTATCTCCATTCTTGTTTAACTTTGTCGTTGACGTGCTTTTAGAGATGATACTGTTCTCATCTAAATTTCCAGGGGTTGAACTTCTACCGGGAGATTCACTTGTTGACTTGGAATATGCCGATGACATAGTTCTATTTGATGAAGATGCTGACAAAATACAGTCTTCTAACCACTGTAAGCAACATTGCGAGCATGTTCGGGATGCGATTCGCCTCCTGGAAATGCAAAATGTTACTTCAGGATTGGGTTGCACCGACACCCGAACTAGTGATAGGGAGTGAAGTAGTTGAGCGTGTCGACCGCTTCACTTATCTCGAAAGTCTCATCAGCCCTTGTGGTTTGGTGTGTGACGAAATCTCAGCACGGATACAAAAGGCTCGACTAGCTTTTGCCAACTTGCGTCATTTGTGGCGTAGGCGAGATATCCGTCTATCAACCAAAGGACGTGTTTGCTTCGCAGCAGTTCGTTCCGTCCTACTTTATGGCAGTGAAACATGGCCAGTAAGAGTAGAGGATATTCGTAGGTTACTAGTATTTGATCATAGGTGTCTTCGAAGCATTGCTCGTATATCATGGGACCACCGAGTAAGTAATGCAGTTGTTAGGAAACGGGCACTAGGTAAGGATGGCGAATCAATTGATGAAGTAGTGAAACTTCATCGGCTGAGATGGCTGAGACATGTGTTACGTATGCCCAACTACCGACTGCCCCGACGTAAGATGTTTTATGGTGTAGGGGTAGGTTGGAAGAAGGCTAGGGGCGGCCAGACCGAACTATTGCACAAATCTATGAAGTCACCGACAAGTGGACTGAGCTATGTTGGTAGGTGTAGACTACCCGGTTGGGGACCGCGAGACGATAGCAACCGATGGTTAGAGACCTTGAATGACATGGCTCAAAATCGTTTGCAATGGCGCAAGTGCATCCACTCTTTGTGCTCTCTCAAACTCTAATCTTCTGAATTCTTCATTTCCTTTATTTTCTTTCCCAATTTATTCCACTGGACTATACTCCTTTAATAACACCATCAAACCTTAATGTCCCCTATCTCTACTTATACTTTCAGTACCTCTACCACTATGGGATTTGAATCGATAACTGAATCTCTGTGCTAATGTGGTATGGCAACTTGAACTGATGTACGTTGTTACTGACTGACTAATGATAACAATACCCGTATCCAGAATATATCTGCAATAATATAATTACTGAACAGACAATTTTAAGTATACAGTATAAGTATAATTCACTAGACATTTTTGACGCATATAGTCTCAAATAGACAACAGCATACAAATGCAAGGACATTACAAAACAAATGTTTGAGTACTCAGCTTTGAGTCAGATAGTACGTGTACGTTACTTATAAACCAAAAATAACTTACCAGAGTCTGAATCTTCAACGACAGTCTCATTTCCTCGACGAGGGGCGGGAGCTTTTTCAGATCCATAATATCCTACTGATACTTTCCCCACTCGCTGGACAGCTTGAACTGGAGTAACAATACCCCGACCGTCAGAACCGAGACCCTTACCCGGTTCGTAACCCATCTGCTCCAAAAGCTTCATTCCAATACCCTTTGTGTGCCTTTCCCAAGCCCCGAAACCAGAGGTTGCTGACTTCGCCGCTGCAGCGGCTGCTGCTACACGTCGATTGGCCCCAACGGATATGCCCACAGGCTTGTCGGGCTTACGATAAATATCTGAATTTGGTGAGTCAGAGTCTGAATCATGATAAGGACGCAAACTCCTTAGGACAGATTTGTCGTCTTCATCATCCGAAATCTGGTCGGCCTCTTCGTTATTTTCTTTCGAACCAGATGAAGCACCGGCACCTACCTACAATAGCAGAAAATACTTAGGACCTTCGCAAACACATTTTTGCATGACAAACGAGACTTGCAAATTAGTTGAATGTATGAACGAAACAAACATGAGACATAACAAATGCATGTTCTAGACAGCTATTACGCACAAAAATAATCGTCACATCTTCCGTACGACCGAACTACTTAATCATTTTGACAATACAGGTTTTCTGTTAAGACATTACAGCCAAACAATCGGTATATCTATCCCAGGCATTCTTACTGGAGCCTAATAAGTTCATACAACTTCAAATAATAAAAAGCAAAAAGGCGATTCATAACTAAGCAGAGATGTAACTATTACAACCTCTCAGATGATCGCAACACCTAAGAATCTATTCACAGCATAGGAATTGGGAACACTGAATTGTTAGCTCGTCGATGAATCTCATTATTTGTCACCTAGCCTTCCTTAACATAAATATACCCTACCTTCACTCCACCACTGACAAAGGTGATCGGTGCTGAATAATTGGCACCCTTACGCTTGAAACCAGCTTCACGTCCACCGAAGCCACTTCTTTCAGGCTCTGAATCAGAATCGTCTGAGGCGAAAATCCCGTATATTGTTTGCTTCTTTGACTGGTTCTGGCGTCGTTTTAAAGGATCCATCATGAACGAATATTCCACATCAGACAGACCAAACCTCTCCATCTCTGGTGACGACCCCATAATTCCAACAAATCCGACGACTTTAAAACGCCGCGCCCGCCGGTCCGATCGTGCAGCATTCAATTTCAGTTCAAATCATTATCATTAGTGATGTAGGTCAAACGGTTAATATTAACAATGTCTGGCTCAATCTTGTTCCTTATATACCTATGCAAAACGTGAAGTGAAATCCTAAGTCAAGACATTGCTTCATTTACTCTTCAACGTGGAATTTCATTTCAAAGTGGTTATCAGGTGAAAAAATCTAGGGATTCCTTTACGAAATAAAAAGCCGACAACTGCATACACATATGCATAAATTGAGTAAATAAACTACTCGGAATTAAATAAAGCATTTTTGATACGATAAGAGCCTGTACAGCTCCCAGTTAAAAACATATTTAGAGATACAAGTTATTGAGTAGGTCTGCTCTTACATCCGTCATATAGTATATTTGCGAGATAAGATGTCACAGAGCTTTCACGCCTCTTTTTACGTGCATGAATTCTAGTGAATTTGCACCTCGCTCTGTCAAAGGATATACAAGGAGAGAGATATGAGTGAAGTGGATGGTTAGTACATCCTAACACTTGCCAAGTGTTTGTAAGATTTTGGATGTCTACCCACAACCATAGTATTAATGACGTCAAAAGATTCACCACAAGCCCTGCTATCTGCCTTCAAAGATCCCGGCCATCAAACTAAAATCTCTTCTCCAAAGTGACGTGGAACAACAATAAATAATAAATCGTGTGCAAGAATTTACAAGGATAAATTTTAAGTAAAGTGAAATAATAAAAGCCCACACAACGGAGATCGAAGAACACAAAACGTGGTTACAATATACCAGACAAGACTAAAGAACAAAGAAATAACAATATTGCTCAAACAAACACTTTGAAGGAATTTTCATCGCATTCTTTATGCCAAATTCCTACAATTCTAAAATCAATAGGAACTTGAGTCTACAGAGGGACAGGATTAGTGTACATGAAAAGTAGGTTAACCAGATGTCAACCTACTGAGTAAAAGGAAACAAGTCTCTGAACAGGGTTAAGATGTCGGGTGGCATCGGGTGAAGGTAGCTCATTATCGTGGATTGACTCAAATAAAACTGTAACACTCGGATCCCATGTCAGTGGTCCACTGAAGACTAAAGATTGTATGTTCGATTTTGCAGGTGCAATGTCGTGAGTGTGCACTTCTGAGAAGTCTCACACTAGAATGGAATGATCGTTTAGTGCTCCTATGTTTTTAATGGTGGGCTAGCAGAGATCAGTCAGTGTTTTACACTACCAAAGGTTAATCCATACTACAGTATAAGTGGTAGATTCTATCGCAGAACTTGCAAATGAAAAACCACTTCGAGTAGAGCCTATTCATGACATTAAAACTAACCATACTAACATTTATTGTTGAAGGGGTTTACATCATTTCCTGGTTCACCAGTACCACAAAACTAGGAAGCTACTCATTCAGTGCTTCATATTGATGGTCCTCATTTACCAAAGTAAAAGCCGTTTACTGTTTATAATAAAGGCCTCGTAAGTAAATGTCAAACTATACTGATGGACCAACAATATAGCACTCTAATTTGTGAAGTCCTACCTCATACTTTTCGCAGGATATCCACTCAATATATTGTATGCCAACGTCACTTAACACCAGACAATATTCGGCATCAAGAAAAGTGGCTGATAATTGTCGTAGCGAACTCACTTTACAAGCGAAGGAAAAACAACTTATATACAAACAAGCTGTTTTTCCTTTGCAGACGGCTCCAAATATAGGACTATATTTTCACACACTGCAATAATTGTGCATTTACAGTTCATCATTGACCTGTGAATGAACTCACAAGCAGAAACGAGCTATAAATAAAGCAAGACGACGGATATATGACGTATTGAAGATGTTTACTTTATGTTCTTTGAGCCTTGAGAATTCTAATCTACTTCAAAAAATAGACAAAAATTACGTGCACGTTATTCTGTGCGTCTTCTAAGGCCTGGTCTGCTATTTTTCTACGTAAATCTGTTTTTTAACTGTGCGGATGACCACACTGTATTTGCACCGACTTCTAGCTCTTTACGTTTCATTGGAATGAACAAGTTCTCGCCGCTCGTTGAACGATGGTCTGTTGTCAAAGGTCTCATTCTTAGTCTTTTTAAAAGCAATATTGTTAATTTTAGCCTGAGATATAAACAGTAATCAAATACCCTGTTGACATCCCATGAAGTGTAATAGGACATTTATGTTGGTGTAAGACTTTACCCCCGCTTTTCTTAATCTCTTCATGCCCCTTGATATTGGAGAGGCTTTTTTGTCCTACTCATAATATAAAGAGGCTGTATGCTTTTGGCATTATTGGACATTTACGATTTGCAAATTCTTTATTATTTATTGTTGTTCCACGTCACTTTGGAGAAGAGATTTTAGTTTGATGGCCGGGATCTTTGAAGGCAGATAGCAGGGCTTGTGGTGAATCTTTTGACGTCATTAATACTATGGTTGTGGGTAGACATCCAAAATCTTACAAACACTTGGCAAGTGTTAGGATGTACTAACCATCCACTTCACTCATATCTCTCTCCTTGTATATCCTTTGACAGAGCGAGGTGCAAATTCACTAGAATTCATGCACGTAAAAAGAGGCGTGAAAGCTCTGTGACATCTTATCTCGCAAATATACTATATGACGGATGTAAGAGCAGACCTACTCAATAACTTGTATCTCTAAATATGTTTTTAACTGGGAGCTGTACAGGCTCTTATCGTATCAAAAATGCTTTATTTAATTCCGAGTAGTTTATTTACTCAATTTATGCATGTGTATGCAGTTGTCGGCTTTTTATTTCGTAAAGGAATCCCTAGATTTTTTCACCTGATAACCACTTTGAAATGAAATTCCACGTTGAAGAGTAAATGAAGCAATGTCTTGACTTAGGATTTCACTTCACGTTTTGCATAGGTATATAAGGAACAAGATTGAGCCAGACATTGTTAATATTAACCGTTTGACCTACATCACTAATGATAATGATTTGAACTGAAATTGAATGCTGCACGATCGGACCGGCGGGCGCGGCGTTTTAAAGTCGTCGGATTTGTTGGAATTATGGGGTCGTCACCAGAGATGGAGAGGTTTGGTCTGTCTGATGTGGAATATTCGTTCATGATGGATCCTTTAAAACGACGCCAGAACCAGTCAAAGAAGCAAACAATATACGGGATTTTCGCCTCAGACGATTCTGATTCAGAGCCTGAAAGAAGTGGCTTCGGTGGACGTGAAGCTGGTTTCAAGCGTAAGGGTGCCAATTATTCAGCACCGATCACCTTTGTCAGTGGTGGAGTGAAGGTAGGGTATATTTATGTTAAGGAAGGCTAGGTGACAAATAATGAGATTCATCGACGAGCTAACAATTTAGTGTTCCCAATTCCTATGCTTTGAATAGATTCTTAGGTGTTGCGATCATCTGAGAGGTTGTAATAGTTACATCTCTGCTTAGTTATGAATCGCCTTTTTGCTTTTTATTATTTGAAGTTGTATGAACTTATTAGGCTCCAGTAAGAATGCCTGGGATAGATATACCGATTGTTTGGCTGTAATGTCTTAACAGAAAACCTGTATTGTCAAAATGATTAAGTAGTTCGGTCGTACGGAAGATGTGACGATTATTTTTGTGCGTAATAGCTGTCTAGAACATGCATTTGTTATGTCTCATGTTTGTTTCGTTCATACATTCAACTAATTTGCAAGTCTCGTTTGTCATGCAAAAATGTGTTTGCGAAGGTCCTAAGTATTTTCTGCTATTGTAGGTAGGTGCCGGTGCTTCATCTGGTTCGAAAGAAAATAACGAAGAGGCCGACCAGATTTCGGATGATGAAGACGACAAATCTGTCCTAAGGAGTTTGCGTCCTTATCATGATTCAGACTCTGACTCACCAAATTCAGATATTTATCGTAAGCCCGACAAGCCTGTGGGCATATCCGTTGGGGCCAATCGACGTGTAGCAGCAGCCGCTGCAGCGGCGAAGTCAGCAACCTCTGGTTTCGGGGCTTGGGAAAGGCACACAAAGGGTATTGGAATGAAGCTTTTGGAGCAGATGGGTTACGAACCGGGTAAGGGTCTCGGTTCTGACGGTCGGGGTATTGTTACTCCAGTTCAAGCTGTCCAGCGAGTGGGGAAAGTATCAGTAGGATATTATGGATCTGAAAAAGCTCCCGCCCCTCGTCGAGGAAATGAGACTGTCGTTGAAGATTCAGACTCTGGTAAGTTATTTTTGGTTTATAAGTAACGTACACGTACTATCTGACTCAAAGCTGAGTACTCAAACATTTGTTTTGTAATGTCCTTGCATTTGTATGCTGTTGTCTATTTGAGACTATATGCGTCAAAAATGTCTAGTGAATTATACTTATACTGTATACTTAAAATTGTCTGTTCAGTAATTATATTATTGCAGATATATTCTGGATACGGGTATTGTTATCATTAGTCAGTCAGTAACAACGTACATCAGTTCAAGTTGCCATACCACATTATCACAGAGGTATAATTATCGATCCAAATCCCATAGTGGTAGAGGTACTGAAAGTATAAGTAGAGATAGGGGACATTAAGGTTTGATGGTGTTATTAAAGGAGTATAGTCCAGTGGAATAAATTGGGAAAGAAAATAAAGGAAATGAAGAATTCAGAAGATTAGAGTTTGAGAGAGCACAAAGAGTGGATGCACTTGCGCCATTGCAAACGATTTTGAGCCATGTCATTCAAGGTCTCTAACCATCGGTTGCTATCGTCTCGCGGTCCCCAACCAGGTAGTCTACACCTACCAACATAGCTCAGTCCACTTGTCGGTGACTTCATAGATTTGTGCAATAGTTCGGTCTGGCCGCCCCTAGCCTTCTTCCAACCTACCCCTACACCATAAAACATCTTACGTCGGGGCAGTCGGTAGTTGGGCATACGTAACACATGTCTCAGCCATCTCAGCCGATGAAGTTTCACTACTTCATCAATTGATTCGCCATCCTTACCTAGTGCCCGTTTCCTAACAACTGC